TGCCCCCCCCTTCCCCCCCCCCGCCAAGGTCCACAGACAGAAGAATAGAAACAGACTCGGCATCTGCTCCTCAAGCTTTTTGGTAGCAGAGAGACTGAGAAGCTACAGAACGTTTAGCACCTACCCTGTCACCTTCTATTCAAATTATAAAAAGCAGCACCTCCACAGAGAGCAAGTGGCTGACTACTTCGCCTAAGGCATTCACATCTGGTAAAAGCCCCTGGATATCTGGTATGGGGTGGGTTTATTTTAAAAGTTTATTCTGATGGAAAAGCACATGGTATCTCCAAAACCAGGTGCTTCCTACATAACTTGTTTCTAAAACTGAACAGTACTTCAGCACTGCCTGAAAAAATTTCTTGTGATATAATCAGGAACTGTACAGGCTCGCAGGCTGCCCATGAACTAGTTATACCAGCAAGCACAAGACAGAAAAATGACAGACAGCAGGAAGCTTTGTGAAAAAGCTAGGAAAAAACCGCCTCAAGCTATTTCTGCACTGCAGAATCCCAAGGCACTTCCCAGCTCTTAGTGAGGATGAGTCCTAATTGCACACACTCCTCTCCACCACCATCGGGAGGAAACACCCTGTTAATGTTAGTTTCACAACTAGAAAACCGTTCACTAGGGCATGTGGACAGGGAGAAGTATCCCCCACAGATCTGTCTGGTGCTTAGCCTAAAAAAGTGCACTGGTCCACAGCTGTCCTGAGGCAGAGGGAATACACAGGTGAAGGCACTTTTACCTGGAAAGGAAAGCAGAGTCCTTTCCAGACAAAGCAAAAAAGATGAAGATAGAGAATGTGATATGCCCAGAAGATTTTCCCCTCAAGCTGACGGTTGGGATGAAATAAATATCCAATCGCTGTCACAGCAGCAGTCATGCTCAAACATGACTTTAATCTCTCTCCTTTCCGGGGTTGTACACAAGCAAAATAAGCCACTGCCTTGAGACAAAAGATTTAAGGACATGGAGTGACATCCCCCAGTCTCAGCCACAAATTCTACCTTTCTCTCAGCACTTGCACGACCAAAAGAGGCAGAGTAAAGGTGCACGATTAGCATAATCTCAGAGACCTTCCTCACTACACAGCCTCTTATATACTCTGTCATGACCACAGCTCTGAGGGGACTGGACACAACCAGGGTGGGATTGATGAAAACTAAAAACCTCCACCCTTTGAAAATAGCGCTGCCAACCTGTGCCATCTGTTCCCTGCAAGAACGAAGCAGGACAGGCTGCGAGCCTCAGGCAGTTAGCTCCTCTGTCGCAGACCACACTCTTTGTCCGGCTTTTGCTGGGGTCCCTTCCATGGCTTGCCAACTCCTCTCCAACAGAGCCCGTCCAGCCCCCTGCCCGCCCCCAGCCCCTGCATCTGCCAAGGAGAGTTCCATCGTGTCACTCTGTGTAGCCTTGCCACCATCTCTCGGTTTCTGGCTGCCCGTGGGGCTGCCAGCTTACGACTTAATTCGGCCGGGGAGCCGACCACCTAGCAATCACTCCCCTTCTCCTCGCCTGCCTCCCCTCTTTGGCCACGATTTTAGCATTACCTACAGCCTTTTCTGATGCAACTTTACGCACCGAAGGAGGCGGCAATGCGAAAAGCCGGCATCGGGCGAGGAAAGGAATAGACCCAGCACCCCAGGGGAGAGAGTGAGGGTAAGACCCCAGCGCGCCTCTCGCCGTCCCCCGATCCGCTTTACCATGGCATCGTAGCGCAGGAGGTTCATGAAGTGGACCGCCTCGCGGCCCTTGAAGCGGGAGAACCACACGGTGCCCTGGTACTGGTCCCCGGCGTCCAGCAGCAGCACGTTGCGGTGCGCGGCCCGCTCCGCCGCCACCCGCGCCGCTCTCCGCGCCACGCCGCCGAAGCATCCCGGTGCTGCCGCCTCGCAGCGCCGCGGGCCCTCGCCCTGCGCCTCCACCCGCCCGTGCACGTCGTTGGTGTGCAGCAGGGTCAGCCGCAGCTCCGCCGCCGCCGCCGCGCTCAGCCACAGCCACAGGCACAGCCCCGCCATCCCGCGGGGGCTGCGGCCGCTCCGCCGCACCGGGAGGAGGGCTGGGCAGCGGAGGAGACTCCGGGGACACCGCGCAGCCGGCGCGCCGCCCAGGGGAGCTAAGGCTGTGACCCGCCCGCAGCCGCAGGTGCTCCGCGACTGCTGGGAGAGTGCGAGGGGGGCTCGCCGGGCTGGCGGCTGCGGCCTCCTCCCGCCTCGCTGCCCGCCCGTCCTCGGGGCTCTCCGAGCTCCAGGCAATGTCCTGCGCCCGCGCACGTCCCAGTCCCCGCTGTCCCACCGATGTCCTTCACCCGAAGGCAGCTGCTGACGGGTTGGAGAAGGGCTTTCAGCCGGCTGCTGGAGGTCAAACGGAATGAAAATCCAGCCAGCAGGGAAAGGACAAACTCCAATGCTCACAGGAAGCCTTGGTGAATGTTTAGTACCCTGAAAGGAGTTTCCAAGCCTTCACACGGAAATGTTTGCCTCTCTCCTCCTCTTTCTCCAATGATGCTTAAAATAAAGACTGCCATTTCATCCATAAAAAGAGTTACACTGCTTTAAGAGTTGATTTAATTATAGCTCTAGTGGTTTTGGTGTAGATTCATGAATGGCTTTCAAGATTTTCCTTCCTTGGCTAAATGCAAAGCTCTCAGTTGTGGTTTGGCAAATGTGCAGTGAGGGGAAAATCTGCCAATGCCTTAAACAAACAGCTTGTTAGGAGTACAGCATGGGGTGACCATCTCTTGGGTAAATCAGACTGACTGGGAGTCCCACCTGCTCCTTTAATTCATGCACTCACAGTACGTGTCCACATCTTCTTCCACTATTCAACCACAAAATTATCTGGAGAAAGACATTTTTCCAAGTCGAAGTGCTGTCACTTCCCTACACTTCTTTGAAACTCCTGGACAATCACACATTGTAAGTGGTGACTGGCAGGTCACTTTTTCCCTTAAAAACACGAGCTCCCCCACTGGCAAAGAAGTGGAGGTTTCTTATAGCA